AAGTGCCCTTCCAAACAGGCCCTATATTGTAGGATCTGATCCTAGGATTTCTGTTTATCCCAGATTATCTGGCAGTATGTTTGGTTGCATGCTGCAAAGTTGCACATCACAAGTGTTGAACCTGGCTCAGCACATAGAAGATGGTTTTGAAAGGCAGAAGATTACAGGAGCTGTCTTCATAGACCTGTCAGCAATTTATGATACTTCTCCTGAAAATAACTTGTAATATCACAAAGGATTACCACCTCACCCGCTTCATAGGAAATCTGCTACAAATGTTTAACATTTACACAAACGATCAGCCACTGCCAAAAGGGATAGTTTCATCTATTTATTTATTTATTTATTGCATTTGTTGACCGCCGTTCTCAGCCCCTTAGGGCGACTCACGGCGGTGTACAACATATAAAAACAGTTTACAATACATATAATTAAACTAAATCATCCGCGTCGTCTCAACATAGAATCATAAGCCAATCTCATAGTCCATATTCTGTTCCAGTCGTCATTGCCAATTTTTTATAGCACTTAGTTAAACGCCTCTTCGAATAGCCATGTTTTTAGGCTCTTACGGAATGCCATAAGTGAGGGCGCCTGTCTGATGTCAACAGGGAGGGTGCTCCATAGCCTATGCTGATGATCCTGCCATCACCGCTCAAGCAGGGAGCTTTGAAATTAACAGAAGCTCTACAAAGCTTTAGATGCTCTTACTGCCCATTACAGAGAAAACTAGCTGATTCCGAATCCATCTAAAACACAGACATGTGCCTTTCATCTTAAGGACAGACAAGCATCTTGAGGTCTGAGGATTACCTGGAAAGGAATCCCACTGGAGCATTGCAGCACACCCAAAAACCTGGGAGTCACTCTGGGCCAGGATCTAACTTATAAGAAGCACAGCTTGACTACCAAACAAAAAATGGGTGCTTGATATAATATCATATGAAAGCTGACTGGCACAACTTGGGAATCACAACCAGATAGTGAAGACATCTGCCCTTGTGCTTTGCTACTCTGCTGCTGAATATGCATGCCCAGTGTGGAACACATCTCATCATGTTGAAACAGTGGATGTGGCTCTTAATGAGACATGCCACATTATCACAGGATGTCTACACCCCACACTGCTGGAGAAATTATACTTTTTAGCCGGTATTGCACCACCTGACATCTTGACATTTTCCGGGAAGTAGCAGCCAATAATGAAAGGACCAAGTATCTACAGAGATACTTGCAGGAACACCTCAGCAAATGAGAGTCCAAAAGTGGCAGGCTAAACCTCTGAACCTCAATCTATGGCTGATACCAGATGAGAGACTCCCTCTTGGGTACACAGACGATTGGGCAACTTAGAAGGCACCTAACAGACTTCACTCTGGCACGAGGTGCGGAGCCAACCTTAAGAACTGAGGCCACAAAGTGGAGTCCACAACATGCGAATGTGGAGAAGAGCAAACAAAGGACCACCTATTACAATGCAGTCTGAGCCATACCACATGCACAGTGGAGGACCTTCATATGGCAACACCAGAGCACTCTATGGGCCCTTCCACACAGCTGTATAACCCAGAATATCAAGGCAGAATAACCTACAATATTTGCTTTGAACTGGGTTATCTGAGTCCAAACTGGCTTATATCCCAGTTCAAAGTAGAAAATGGCTAGCTTCTGGTCAAAGGACATTTAGCATAAAGCCAAGTTTTTAACTGTACTCTCAATTTGCTTCTGACACGATAAGCCACCTGGCAGCGAGGACTCATATAATCCAGTTTAAAACAGATAACCTGGGATCAGATCCTGGGATACAGGGCCTGTCTGGAAGGGGTCTAAACTAAACTTTGCAAAAATATAGGGGGGGGGGGGAGGGCTGAAGGTCCATCCTAAGACCAAATGAGCAATGTCACCAAGACTAATTAGGTGAAGTTTGACCTAAAGCAGCAAGGAAATCACAAAGCCTGGCAGTGGGTCAGGTAGCCAGGAAAAAGGAGGATGAGAAAATTCCTGGCAGGAATCACCCAGGCAAAGCTTTGCAATGCTAATCAAGGTGATTATTTGCAACATTCACACTTGCCCCCAGCAGACAGAGTTCTTTCTCCCACCCTGGACATTCCACAGATATATTAACTTCACTTCCTTAGGGCCTTTCCAGACAGCCCTATATCTCAGAATATCAAGGCAGAAAACCCCACAATATGTGCTTGGAACTGGGTTATCTGTGGGCCCTTCCACGCAGCCCTATATCCTAGAACATCAAGGCAGAAAATCCTACAATATCTGCTATAAATAAACCCCATTTGCCTAGTTTCAGACAGACCTCACAACCTCTGAGGATGCCTGACATAGATGCAGAAAACCCCACAATATCTTCTTTGAACTAAGTTATCTGAGGGCCCTTCCACGCAACCTTATATCCCAGAATATCAAGGCAGAAAACCCCACAATATCTTCTTTGAACTGGGTTATCTGAGGGCCCTTCCACATAGCCCTATATCCCAGAACATCATGCCAGAAAACTCCACAATATCTGCTATAAATAAACCCCATTTGCCTGGTTTCAGACAGACATCACAACCTCTGAGGATGCCTGACATAGATGCAGAAAATCTCACAATTATCTGGTTTGAACTGGGTTATCTGTGGGCTCTTCCACACAGCCCTATATCCCAGAACATCATGGCAGAAAACCCCACAATATCTGCTTTGAACTGGGTTATCTGTGGGTCCTTCCACGTGGCCTTATATCCCAGAATATCTGATTTCAAGTGGGTTATCTGTGGGCCCTTCCACACAGCCCTATGTCTCAGAATATCAAGGCAGAAAACCCCACAATATCTGCTTGGAACTGGGTTATCTGTGGGCCCTTCCACACAGCCTTATATCCCAGAATATCAAGGCAGAAAACCCCACAATATCTCCTTTGAAGTGGGTTATCTGTGGGTCCTTCCACACAGCCCTATATCCCAAAATATCTGCTTGGAACTGGGTTATCTGAGGGCCCTTCCACACAGTCCTATATACCAGAATATAAAGGCAGAAAACCCTGCAATATCCGCTTTGAACTACATTATCTGTAGGCCCTTCCACGCAGCCCTATATCCCAGAACATCAAGGCAGAAAATATCTGCTTTGTACTGGGTTATCTGGATCCATACTCAAATAATGTGGGATTTTCTGCCTTGATATTCTATGATATAGGGCTGTGTGGAAGGGTCCTCAGTTTTTAATATACCTCACAAACTCTGAGGATACCTGCCAAGATGTGGGTGAAACTCATGAGAGTGCTTCTGGGACATGACCATACAGCTTGGGAAAACTCACAGCAACCCAGTGATTCCGGCCTTAGTCTCCTCCTGCATAATTGCCAGGGAAGATGCCAATAGGAGGGAAGTGGGGAAGGGTGCTTTACCAAGCTGAGGGACTTGTTGCTCCATCCTGGCCTCTCTGGGCCCTTCCACACAGCCCTATATCCCAGAATATCAAGAGAGAAAATCCCACAATATCTGCTTTGGACTGGAATATATAGAAGTGTAGACTCAGGGCCCTTCCACACAGCCCTATATCCCAGAACATCAAGGCAGAAAGCCCACAATATCTGCTTTGAACTGGTTTATCTGTGGGCCTTTCCATACAGCCCTATATCCCAGAACATCATGGTAGAAAACCCCACAATATCTGCTTTGAACTGGGTTATCTGTGGGCCCTTCCACACAGCCCTATATCTCAGAAAAGAAAGGCAGGACATCCCACAATATCTGCTTTGAACTGGGTTATCTATGGGCCCTTCCACACAGCTCTATATCCCAGAACATCAAGCCAGAAAGCCCCACAATACCTGCTTTGAACTGGGTTATCTGTGAGTCCTTCCACGCAGCCTTATATCCCAGAATATCCGCTTTCAAGTGGGTTATCTGTGGGCCCTTCCACACAGCCCTATATCCCAGAACATCAAGGCAGAATACCCCACATCTGCTTTGAACTGGGTTATCTGAGTCCATAGTCAAATAATGTGGGATTTTCTGCCTTGATATTCTGGGATATAGGGCTGTGTGGAAGGGCCCTCAGTTTGTAATAAACCTCACATCTCTGCCAATGATGTGGGTGAAATGTCAGGAGAGAATGCTTCTGGAACATGGCCATACAGCTTGGGAAAACTCACAGCAACCCAGTGATTCCGGCCATTTTTCAACAACAGGATGAGAAAATTAAGTCTCCTTCTGCATATTTGCCAGGGATGATGCCAATAGGAGGGAGGTGGGGAAGGGTGTTTTACCAAGCTGAGAGACTTGTTGCTCCATCCTGCTCTCTCTGGGCCCTTCCACACAGCCCCATATCCCAGAATATCAAGAGAGAAAATCCCACAATATCTGCTTTGGACTGAAATATATGGCAGTGTAGACTCAGGGCCCTTCCACACAGCCCTACATCCCAGAATATCAAGGTAGAAAGTCCCACACTATCTGCTTTTGGGATTTTCTGCCTTGCTATTTTGGGATATAGGGCTGTGTAGAAGGGCCTTCTCCTTCTGGGCTGGAGTGGCAGCCACAACAGGAGAGACAGAAAGAGAAAGAGGGCTTGGGCTGAGTGCGTGGCACCTGGTTGTCAATGGCCTTTAAAAAAAGGCAGCCGGGGAGACAGGGAAAGGGCCAGGGGAAGCCACTTGGCCTGTTCTGCATCATCCCTGCCGCTTTATCTTCCTCCTCCTCCTCTTCTCTTTCTGCTTCCTCCTTTGCAAAGTACTGTAATGGAGGGGGAGAGCCTGTTTAGCCGCAGCCAGATGGTACAAGAGTAGAGAGAGACTTTCTTTCGGAGCGTGGCCACTTCCCTCTCGAAGGAAATAAACAAATAACATTAATATATTTATGTATATAATGGGGAGGGGGTTGAGAAGGGGGAGGGTCCAGACTTGATGGGGAGGCGGAGGAGGAGGGGGGAGGAAAGTTTCATCGAAGTTGCTCAGCCGAGGAGGAGGAGGAAAAGAGGAGGAGGAAAAGTTTGACTTCTCTTCTGCTGGGAGGAGGAGCGGAGCAGAGGAGCCAGCGAGGGATGCTCCCGCTTGCAACAGGCAGCAGCAGCACCCTCTCCTCCTCCTCCTCCGCCTGGCTGAGCCACACGTCCCCCGGAGCCTCGCAGGAGCAACACGTGATGTGTCTCCTTCGGGGGAGAAGCGGCGGATGAGTGGGGAGGGGGTGGCCAGAGAGGAAGCCACCGCCAGGCCTCTCTCTCTTTCTCTGCCTCTCGAAACGGGGGGCAACATCGCCTGCCTAACTCTCTTCCTCCTCCTCCGAGCAGCAGAAGCGGACGGGAACTTATTGCGGACTTGATGAACTTTGCACATCCATAGAAACGCCATTTTGAATTCGATTCCTACCCCCCCCCCCGTCTCTCTCTTTTTCTCCTCCTCCCATCTGGGACAAACTTTGCTCCTCTCTCGTCGCGGATCCCCTCTAGCCCCCCTACTTTGGTTTTTTTGTTCGCTTGGAAAGGAGGAACTCCGCCGCCCATCATCACCATTTTTTTTTTGCATCATGGCTCGATCCGGAGCAAATCGGACGTAAGTAAAGCTTGGGATGAAGGACAACACATACACACACCTCACCCCTCTTTAAGGGGGCTTCAAAGTCAAAGCAAAGAGGGTGATGGGGAGGATGAGGAAGAGGGAGGAGAAGCCTGGCACTGAAAGGTATTGCTCTGTCTATGTCACTGTTTGGATGGCTTGGGTTGATGTGAGTTTTCCCTGCTCCGTGTATATAGCTATGAGGACTTTCCCTTATGTTTGCCAGTCTCTAGTTTGGAAAGTTTGGGAAAAGTTTCTGCGTGGAGGATGCTGGCGAGACTTCCTTTCTCTTCTGCTGCTTCTTCTTGTCTCTTCTCTTTCTCTCGAAAAGGGCCTTTCTGGGCCTCTCTAAACTCCAAAACCCGGATTTAAAGTGGATCCATGCTCTAGTGTGATGAGGTCCTTTCTTTCTCTCCCCCCCCCTCCCCGCTTCCCTCGCTCCTTAATCCCGCATAAAAAGGGGGCTTTGCTTGCCTGCAGCAGGACCTGATGCTCATCCATATTAAACCGTCTGAGCTCAGGAATCCGTCCAGATCATCTCTCTCTCTCTCTCTCCTTCTCTTCCCTCCTTCCTCCCCTCCCACTGCAAAGTTTATTTTTAACCAGCCGCTTTGGATGGGCCTGCGAGGAAGGAGCAGCACAGCAGCATCTTTTAACCCAATTGGCTTCCTCAAGGACATCCCACTGGCTTCTCTTTTTCCTCCATATTTCCCAGTTAGTCGGGTGGTTTGGATGGATGAGGATGGGGAGTGAGGTGGCGTTTCACCCCTCCTTCGCATCCCTCACCCCCCCGGATTGGAAGTGGAACGGCTGACTCAAGGTAGAAAGGAGCGCGGGGGTAGGGAGAAACCACCTCTCTCTCTCGCGGGGGGGGGGGGTCTTTTTGCAAACTTTTTCCGCCTGTTGCTGCTTCTCTCTCAGGGCGGAGGCTGGGAGCAGCAGCAGCAGCATTAGCAGCATCCGCGGAGCTCTGTGCGTGTGGCGCGCCTCTCGCTTTAAGTCGCACTTCGGTACTTCTCGTTCTCTTTGGCAACCCCCCCCCCCCTTTCTCTTCTCTCTCTCCTTCAGCCTCGGGCGGGGAGAAAAGGAGGGAAGGAAAGAGAGGGAAGAGAGAAGGAGGGAGGGAGGGGGCCTTTACAAGACCGTGCCTGCCTTGGCTTCTTCTCCTCCTCTTCCCTTTTCCTCCTCGGCCTGCCATGAAGATGCAAGCCGCTTTGGGATAACTTGCTTCGGAGTTGAGTTTTTTTCGGGGATGGGGAATAGGAAGGGCGAAACTTTCAGACAGGACCTATATTCGAAGCACCTGATCCCAGCTTTTCTGTTTATTCCGGATTATCTGGCACTGTGAACTCATATAATCCGGGTTAAAGCAGAAAACCTGGGTTATAGAGCCTTACCCTACAGCTCTTCCAGATAGGCCCATTATCCCAGCTGTTTATCTCGGATTGTCTGGCAGTGCGGACTCAGGTAATCCGGGATAAACAGAAAACATGGGGAATAGGGCCTGTCTGGAAGTGTCTTACCCAAGGGCCCTTCCAGACAGCCCCCTTATTCTCAGTTTTCTGTTTATCCCGTATTATCTCACAGTGTAGACTCATCTAATCCGGGTTAAAGCAGAAAACCTAGGATATAGGGCCTTACCCTAGGGCCCTTCCAGACAGGTCCATTATTCCCGGTTTTCTGTTTATCCCGGACTATCTGACAATGTGGAGTCATCTAATCCGGGTAAAAGCAGAAAACCTAGGATATAGGGCCTTTCCAGACAGGCCCATTATCCTAGGCTTTCTGTTCATCTCACATTATCTGGCAGTGTGGACTCATGTAATCCGGGTAAAAGAAGAAAACCAGGGATATGGGGCCTTACTTTAGGGCCCTTCCAGGTAGGCCCATTATCCCAGGTTTTCTATTTATAATAGATTACCTGGCAGTGTAGACTCATATAATCCGATTTAAAGCAGAAACCCTGGGATGTAGGGCCTTACTCAAGGGCCCTTCCAGCCAGGCTTTTATCCCTGGGGTTCTCATTATCCCGGATTTTCTGAACGTGTGGGCTCGTATAATCCGTTGTAAAGCAGAAAACCTGGGATCTAGGGCCCTTCCAGACAGGCCTATATCCCAGGATCGAATCCCAGGTTTTCTGTTTATCCCAGATTATCTGGCCGTGTGGACTCCTATGATCCGGTTTAAAGCAGAAACCCTGGGATGTAGGGCCTGTCTGTAATTTCCAGGCATGGCTGTGTGTGTGTCACAAGTGCCTGTGTGTGTGTGTGTGTTGGTGGGTTTGGAGAAGGAAACGCGCACGACGCATCGTCACGAGGGCAGGAAAAGGAGCCCCAGCGAAACGCGGAAAGAGAAAACGTGTCCTCAACTTCTTGGCTGGTCCAGCTCTTTCCCTTCTTTCTCCCTCCAAGTGGCATCCTCGCCTTCTTTTAATACTCCCCCCCCCCCTTTGGATTCCTCTTCCCCTCCCGTTGTTGCTACACCCCAAACTTTCTGGCCAAACTCTCTTTTTCCTCCTCCTCCTCTTCTTCTACACTTGGTGTTGATGTGTGCAGACGAGTCGGGACTCGTCTCTTAGGAAACTGCGACCTTAATCGTTGCTAAGAGGCGAAGAGAGAGAGAAAGAGGAGAGAGGAGCTGCCTCTCCCTTGGATGGCAGGTCCCCTTTGCTTCCCCCTCTCCCTTGGCCTATGGAAAACAGGGATGGAGTTCCTCTTCTTTGCTCCTTCTTCCTCTTTGAAAGTTTCTCTCTCCTTCCGCCAAGCAACAACATGGAGGATTCCTCAGGCAGCTATCAGCCAGTCTTTGAAGCTGCAATGCCATTAAATGCTAATCTAAGTGGCTGACTTTGCAAATAATAATAATAATAATAATAATAATAATAATAATAAGGTTTCCAGGCTGAGGAAGTTGGTCAAACTTCTCCTTCCACCAAGCAACAACATAGAGGGTTCCTCAGGCAGCAATCAGCCAGTCTTAGAAGCTGCAATGCCATTAAATGCTAATCAAGGTGGCTGATTTTGCAAAATAATAATAATAAGGTTTCCAGGCTGAGGAAATTGGTCAAACTTCTCCTTGCTCCAAGCAACAACATAGAGGATTCCTCAGGCAGCAATCAGCCAGTCTTTGAAGCTGCAATGCCATTAAATGCTAATGAGGTGGCTGACTTTGCAAATAATAATAATAAGGTTTCCAGGCTGAGGAAGTTTGTAAAATGTCTCCTTTCGCCAAGCACCAACATGGAGGATTCCTCAGGCAGCAGCCAGTCTTTGAAGCTGCAATGCCATTAAATGCTAATCAAGATGGCTGACTTTGCAAAATAATAATAATAGTAATAATAGTAATAATAATAAGCTTTCCAGGCTGAGGAAGTTAGTCAAACTTCTCCTTCCACCAAGCACCAACATGGAGGATTTATCAGGCGGCAATCAGCCAGTCTTTGAAGCTGCAATGCCATTAAATGCTAATTGAGGTGGCTGACTTTGCAAAATAAATAAATAAAAAGGTTTCCAGGCTGAGGAAGTTGGTCAAACTTGTCATGGTTGGGAAGAGGAAGAAACTTGTGGCTGCTTCCTGGGATGGAAGGGGAAAAGGAGCTGAAGGGGAAAAAGAGAAGAGCAGAAGGGGGGGAGGGGTTGCTCACTGGCAGCCCCATCAGCCACCCTTCCTCCTTCTCTTCTTCCTCCTCCAACAACTTGCAGTTGTGCAACAGGCAGCAGTCATCTAGTTGCTGGGCAGAGTTAGAATTAGGGATGCTGAAAAACTTTCTCTCTCCCTCTCTGAGGTGGATTGAACTTTGTCATGTCAGTTTGATCCGTTTGCTCAAGCTCCTCTTTCTGTTCCCCCTCCTCCTCTTCCTCTCTTTGCCTTCCCTTCTGCGCTTGCTCCCTTCCTTCCCTCTACCTCTGAGTTACACTATCTCTCTTTCTCTCCCCCCCCCTCCCTCTCTGGGAGTTGCTCTGCAAGGCATCCTTGATAGGTTATAAAAGGGGAGGGCCAGCCTTTTTTCGCCTGCCTCAGCACTTTGTCCTCTGTTGCTCCTTTCCTGGTGAAGAGAGAAGGGAGAGAAGAAGGAGAGGGAGAGACTTAGATCCGGATGAGCAGTTTGCATTCCAGGGCTCCTCCTCGCAATTCCAGGGGTTGCCTTTGGAAGGAAGGAAGGGTTTGGAAAAGTTTGGAAAAGTTTGAAAAAGTTTGTCAAGTTGTCTGATGTGCCCCTCGCTGTGTGACATGATTGGGATGAGACAGCCAGCGTTTGGACTTTCCTCTTCTGTGTGTGCCAAAGGCAGGTATGGGGAAACTTTGGCCCTCTGGGTGTTTTGGACTTCAACTCCCACAATTCCTAACAGCCTCAGCCCCTTTCCTTTCCCCCCTCAGCCGCTTAAGCAGCTGAGGGGGAAAAGGAAGGGGCCTGAGGCTGTTAGGAATTGTGGGAATTGAAGTCCAAAACACCTGGAAGGCCGAAGTTTTCCATGCCTGGTCCTCCAATCGCCCATGCCAAGTGTCAATCATCCTCAGCATCCATCCAGTGAGTTGAAGGGGTGTATAAGTCTCCAAACCCCAACTTTGCATAGGTAGGCCTTATCTTCAAGATCAGATCCATTTGTGGTCACCGCAGTTGAGTTGCTGTGAGTTTTCCGGGCTGTATGGCCATGTTCCGGAAGCATTTTCTCCTGACATTCTTCCACCTGAACATAAGGGAGAACTTCCTGACCGTGAGAGCTGTTCACCAGTGGAACTCTCTGCTCTGAAGTGTGGTGGACGCTCCTTTGGAATCTTTTGAACTGGATGGATGGCCATCTGTCGGGGTGCATTAAATGCGATTTTCCTACTTCTTGGTGGGGGTTGGACTGGATGGCCCACGAGGTCTCTTCCAACTCTATGATTCTATGATGTCTTGCCCATGTTTGCGTGGCCCCAGGTATATAAAACAGGTATTGAAACCAAATATTTACTGGCTTACTGTGAATTTTCTGGGCTTTATGGCCATGTTCCAG